TTGCTTTTAGGGATTTAAGATAGCTTTAATGATGACCGTTTTCACACATACCGGTTTTCAAGATCATTTACTGCAGCTCTTAGTCCAAATTAAGAGCATATGTGAAGGGAATCAGTTCAAACTAAATTGATTATCCTTCACAAAACCACCATCAATAACCTACAACAGCAGACAAATTGAATGTAGTTAATTTTCCTTTGCAACAAGTGGTAGTGTTTAAAAATGTATATCTTGATTAGCCTGATTCTTTATCTGATGAAACCAAATGCAGCTTTGCATTACATTTTCAAAAGTGCATTAGCTCAAAGAGGGAAAAAAGGTTTTTTCACGCTTCATGCTGATTCTAGTTATCCTTTATGATTGACATTAAAATTTCCTTTTTCTTCCAAGTTACATTGGGCAAAAAAGCTGAATACAAATCTTACAGCATAGGCACTGACGTAAAAGTAAAACTATGATTGTTGTTTTTTTCCATTTACAGCTAAACCCATTACCCTTCATCAAGCCATCATCTTCCTCACTTCATTAATACTGTACACGCCTCTGTGCAGGGGTGTCAACGTTGTTTTAGAGCTGGCAAAAACAATGGCTTCTTTTAAATAACTCACAAAAGACAAAGCGAAAGTGAGGAGGAGTGGGGATAATGTGTTTGTCCCACATTACAAAAGCTTTGAGAGGAAAATAAAGCCACCCCTGTTTCCAGCTTCCCCTGCTCGTCTATTCTCTCCTTTCTACTCCTGAAACTGTTTTCTAAGAGGAAGGTTGAGTGAAGGTGAAGTGTGGGAGCAGTGGTCCACATGATGCACAAGCATCAGCAGGGGATGCAGCTCATTCTTTGCTTTATCTTCACTGAATATTCTCAGAGGTTTTACCCATCTTCTCATGCACACTACCTTCCCACTGTTGTGCTGTAAATATTTTTAAGTATTTCTTTTTTTTTTTAATCCTCAAAGTTGTTTTCACAAGGCATACTGTGAATCTTAGTGCTCTCCAGACGCACACTTTTCAACACTTCTGGAAATACACCTTGTTATTTGGCTTTGTGATACTTGAAACGGTTTAGAAAAACATTCTGCATTCTCTCTGTGTATGTCATGTTCTCGTGCACAAATTATTTTCACACATGCATACACACATTGCTCATTTCCAAACCTAAGATGATGACCTATACTGTTGAAAGCAATGCCCTTCAAATTGGAGAACACAGCGACAGTGAGTGTGTGCTGTGTCCTGTAGGTGTTTTCCTGTTTGAACATCATTAGTGTGTCCATGGGCTCAGAGGACTCATTCAGCAGCTCATTCCTTCAGAGGACATACACCTGCTTTTACACACACTCAGAAGCTTCAGTGCTGCAGCTATTCCTCTGTTTGTGTGTGTGTGTGTGTGATTTTTTTCAACTTTGTTCTCGACTCAGATCAAAAATAGCGGGTCTTCATCAGAGACCCTGAAACCAATCACTCTCACTGCTGATTGTTGGCACTGCAATCCATTACATTTCTTTCAAAGTCATCTCCTTTCTCCTGTATTCAACCACATCCCATTGTCTCCCCCCCCCCCCTC